CCATGTATACAGACAGTAGCCTTGTCACATATCTGTTTGTGCTCTTCCATTGCTGCTGACAGGGAGTTGGCATAATAGCACAAACAGACTGGAACTCATGCTATACAGACAGTATTTAGTACTCTGGGCCTTACAATGATATTGGCTTAGAGTGTGTAGTTAAACACAGACCTTGTACAGATAGTGTCATTACCAGCTTCAACAACCAGAATGTGCGGTGTGGGTCTTCCAGATGGTAGGCTACAGTCCAGCTCTTCCAGATTGGATCTCACAACCAGCCAGGCCTTCATCAGATAATTTCAAATTACTTTTCCAGTCCCCCCATCCCCCATCCCCCTCTCTGTACATGTTACATGATGATCATGGAGATTAAATATTGGTGGTAATTCCTCTGAGGTATTTAAAAGAAGGCCCATGCTGGGCGTAATGCTCAGTAGGAGGATAATGTGGTCCTCCTGCATGTGGTGTTGTGGCTGCGTGCCTCCAACCAGCCTAAACCCAATCTGTTACAGATTTAGACGGAATCTAAAAAAGAGAGGTGCAACGCCAACAAGCGAGAGAGGGATAGCAGGAGAGAAAGCGAGAAAGGAGAGGTAAGGAACATTCCAATTCCACTCCCTGTATCATGAGGAAATCAGAGATAAAGCACATGGAGGATTACATTTTTTTTTTAATCTATGTATTTTTTGGGGTCAGTTTAAATTTCCGTTGGTGGCTGAAGCTAGCAAACCCAACCACCCTTTGGTTTCCTCTGAACATGGACGCAATTAAATACATACTGTATGTGGATTTTCATATTTTATTCACCTTCTGGAGGGCGCTACCCAGGTAGAGAGATGGCAGTTCTTGCTGTTGCTGCCCCATGATTTAGCAGATGTTCATTTTATTTATGATTCATACAAACACATAATTTGTCACTGCAGCCAAGTGTTTATATTTCTTAAATACAGCATTTTACAGTCAGAAATGTGTTTTCATGAAATGTGGAATTTGTATTTAAAAATGTCATCCATCTTCAGCATTTAGGCAACTGGAAAGCAAACCTGTATTTTTCCTTCCATTCAACTACAATAAAGTATCATAGACATAAACAATATTGTTTATAAAAGGACATGTCCCCCCCACATTCTGAAATTGTATTTCTGTCCCCCCCCCCTCACAGTTTTATCATTGGAATGTGATACAAAACGAGGCAATGGTGTGCTTTAGGACCATGCGGATGCCTCCAAGCGGTCAGGTAGGCTGTTTGGAGTGTTTATCTGACTGGATTTTTGATTTGTTTAACACCTTTCTGGTTACTACATGATTCCATATGTGTTATTTCATAGTTTTGATGTCTTCACTATTATTCTACAATGTAGAAAATAGTAAAAATAAAGAAAAACCCTTGAATGAGTAGGTGTGTCCAAACTTTTGACTGGTAGTGTATATATATATATATATATATATATATATATATATATATATATATATATATATATATACACCGTGCATTCGGAAAGTATTCAGACCCCTTGACTTTTTCTACATTTTGTTACGTTACAGCCTTATTCTAAAATGGATAAAATAGTTTTTTCCCCCTCAATCTACACACAAAACCCCATAATGACAAAGAGAAAACTTAAATATCATATTTACATAAGTATTCAGACCCTTCACTCAGTACTTTGTTGAAGCACCTTTGGCAGTGATTACAGCCTCGAGTCTTCTTGGGTATGACGCTACAAGCTTGGCACACCTGTGTTTGGGGAGTTTCTCCCATTCTTTTCTGCAGATCATCTCAAGCTCTGTCAGGTTGGATGGGGAACGTCGCTGCACAGATATTTTCAGGTCTCTCCAGAGATGTCCGATCGGGTTCAAGTCTGGGCTCTGGCTGGGCCACTCAAGGGCATTCAGAGAATTGTCCCAAAGCCACTCCTGCGTTGTCTTGGATGTGTGCTTAGGGTCGTTGTCCTGTTGGAAGGTGAACCTCCGCCCCAGTCTGAGGTCCTGAGTGCTCTGGAGCAGGTTTTCATCAAGGATCGCTCTGTACTTTGCTCCGTTCATCTTTCCCTCGATCCTGACTAGTCTCTCAGTCCCTGCCGCTAAAAGACATCCCCACAGCATGATGCTGCCACCACCATGCTTCACCGTAAGGATGGTGCCAGGTTTCCTCTAGATGTGACGCTTGGCATTCAGGCCAAAGAGTTCAATCTTGGTTTCATCAGACCAGAGAATCTTGTTTTTCATGGTCTGAGTCTGAGGTGTCTTTTGGCAAAATCCATGTGCCTTTTACTGAGGAGTTGCTTCCGTCTGGCCACTCTACCGTAAAGGCCTGATTGGTGGAGTGCTGCAGAGATGGTTGTCCTTCTGGAAGGTTCTCCCATCTCCACAAAGGAACTCTGTAGCTCTGTCAGAGGGACCATCCGGTTCTTGGTCACCTCCCTGACCAAGACCCTTCTCCCCCGATTGCTCAGTTTGGCCGGGCGGCCAGCTCTAGGAAGAGTCTTGGTGGTTCCAAAGTTCTTCCATTTAAGAATGATGGAGGCCACTGCGTTCTTGGGATCTTCAATGCTGCAGAATTGTTTTGGTACCCTTCCCCAGATCTGTGCCTCCACACAATCCTGTCTCAGAGCTCTGCGGACAATTCCTTTGACCTCATGTCTTGGTTTTTGCTCTGACATGCATTGTCAACTGCCTTTCCAAATCATGTCCTTTCTATTGAATTTACCACAGGTGGACTCTAACCAAGTTGTAGAAACATCTCAAGGATGATCAATGGAAACAGGATGCACCTGAGCTCAATTTCAAGTCTCATAGCAAAGGGTCTGAATACTTATGTAAATAAGGTATTTCTGTTTTTGTTTTTTAAATAAATTTGCAAACATTTCTAAACTTGTTTTTGCTTTGTCATTATGGGGTTTTGTGTGTAGATTGATGAGGGGGGAAAAATAATGTAATCCATTTCAGAATAAGGCTGTAACATAACAAAATGTGGAATGCACTGTTCAGGAGTCTTCTGGCTTTTTTTTTTTTTTTTTTTTTCATCTTTATTTAACCAGGTAAGCCAGTTGAGAAGAAGTTCTCATTTACAACTGTGACCTGGCCAAGATAAAGCAAAGCAGTGCGATAAAAACAACAAACACAGAGTTACATATGGAATAAACAAAATGTACAGTCAATAACACAATCTATATACAGTGTGTGCAAATGTAGTACGTTATGGAGGTAAGGCAATAAATAGGCCATAGTGCAAAATAATTAAAATGTAGTATTAACACTGGAGTGATAGATGTGCAGAAGATGATGTGCAAATAGAGATACTGGGGTGCAAATTAGCAAAATAAATAACAATGTAAATAACAATATGGGGATGAGGTAGTTGGGTGGGCTAATTACAGATGGGCTGTGTTCAGGTGCAGTGATCGGTAAGCTGCTCTGACAACTTGGGGCTTGGGGGTAGAAGCGATACCGGAGTGCCAAGTCTAGGTCCAAAAGGCTTCTTAATAGCTTCTACCCCCAAGCCATAAGACTCCTGAACAGCTAATCATGGCTACCCGGACTATTTGCATTGCAGCCCCCACCCCACCCCACCCCACCCCAACCCCCTCTTTTACGCTGCTGCTACTCTGTTTATTATTTATGCATAGTCACTTTAATTCTACCCACATGTACATATTACCTCAATTACCTCAACTAACCGGTGCCCACGCACATTGACTGTACCGGTACCCCCCTGTATATAGCCTCCCTACTGTTCTTTTATTTTACTGCTGCTCTTTAATTCTTTGCTTTTTTTTGTTTCTTTACTTATCTATTTTTTACTTAACACTTATTTTCTTTTTCTGAAAACTGCATTGTTGGTTAAGGGCTTGTAAGTAAGCATTTCACTGTAAGGTCTACACCTGTTGTATTCGGCGCATGCAGCAAATAAAATGTGATTTGATATATATTTTACTGTACTATTATCATAAATATCAAGAGTCTGTTTTGACATGAAAGTACTTTGAATATGAATTGAGAGACTTGGAAAATGTGACACATGCTGAAGCAAATTAACTGAAGCTGGTTTGACAATTACTACTGCTACTACTACTACTACTACTACTACTACTACTACTACTACTACTACTACTACTACTACTACTACTACTACTACTACTACTACTACCACCACCACACATAACAATAAGGAGGTCAGGTTTTTCTCATTTTCAGAATGTATGTTTATTTAGCGTTAATTGTTGGTCTGTTTTTTTTTTTTTTTTACAAACATTCTGCCAGCAGGTGAAGTCTACATTTTGACTGCGTCCAAAATGGCACCCTATTACCTAAATAGTGCACTACTTTTGACCATAGTGCACTATATAGGGAATAGGGTGTCATTTTGGAAACATCCTACATTTCTAGAAAGCTTATCATTCATAACAAGTACTGCTCATAATTTACAAACAAGCACGCTTTGAAATAATAAAAAATATTCCCTAAAAGCCTAAATGATCATTAGCCAATGGTGATCAATATGATTATCAGACAAGGTAATTATTTTAACTGCAGTCTCACTCCCCCACACACACACACACACACACACACACACACACACACACACAGTTAAACATTGGAAAAACAACCAGTGCACAAACATATTAATCAAGAAGTAAGTGATAAAGGTGGCTAAAGCTGAAGCAGTATCATTCAGTTCCTAATTACAGTATTGCCTCATGACATGTTATCCTCCTAACTCAATCTACTGTCTACTCAATTACAACAGTATTTAGACCAGATAAATCACTTTGGTTGGGGTTGTGATGGAGTGAGTGGGAAGAGTTCACGAACAGTCAGGACTTTATTTCCATTGGAGATACACAGACGTACAGTAGATGTGTACATAGTGTTAGTACACAGTGAAGGGGTGGAACTGTTACATGATCAAAAAACATAGATCCCTCAAATTCAATTCTGGACCTCGAATCAATTTCCACTTGAGAAACCAAGGTAGGTGCAATTAATTATCAGGTAAAACGGAAAACCAGCAGTGGTCCGGACCTCGTACGGTAAGATTTGAAATCCCCTGACATAGATGAACACCCAGACAAGACATGACTGAGAAACAGTTTTTCTCAAATAAATATATGTTCTTGCATATATACATATATACCGTAAATATATACAGTATAGCGTGGTTAATAGAGCAAGTGTCAAAGATAGGAGACATTACATAGTTGCTGTGTGTGTAATTTGCCAGCCACTACTTAAGCAATTTAGTATTTCTGACAAAATAAAAGTATGTAATTAAGTTAAATACATTTGCATATTGGTTGCAATAAAAACGTTTTCATACAAATGAAATACAAAACAACAAAATGACGTTACTAACTTTTTGCTCTGGCCTAGTAAATAGCTTACAATTAACTTTATATATTGTATGTCCAATCAATCACCTCAGATTAGGGCCGAGATTCAATTATTTTAAAGGCAATGTTACTGCGTTTGCAGAGATCGCATTCAAGGTAAACGCTGCAGAGGTCGGCTCAATTGGATATTACCTTTAAATGTCAAGCACGCGCTACACCATTGTTTAAAATTGAATCGCAGCCTAGTTATTCAGATTAGTGACACGTGATTGGATGGTGACCCTCCTGACTGGAGTCTGGTCTGCCATCCGATTGGCCACCAACTCCTGTAACTGCAGCGCCCCTCCGCCAATAAAAATGAAAGCTGGGCAAACGGGGCCGGAGCAATCGACAGGCCCCTCCCACAGAGGACGGAGCGAGTGGGCATCGTAGAAAGTGACGCGACCCTTCTCAAAGTCAAGGCACACCCCGAGCCTGGGAGGCAGGGGGTAGGTGAGGCCCGTAGGCGAGGAGGCTGGGCTGTTGCCGTTGGCGATGGTGGGGCTGCGGCGGGGGCTGGTGCCGTTGCAACCGTGGTTGTTATGATGGTTGGGAGCCTGGGGCAGGAAGATCTTGCCCATGCCCATTGTGAGGAAAGAGAAGGAGGGAGGGGAGTCCAGGGAATCCTCTGCCCCACTGTCATGGCCACTGTCTGGGTCATAGCTACAGCGGGAGGCAGAGAGAGAGAGAGAGAGAGAGAGAGCGAGAGCGAGAGCGAGAGCGAGAGCGAGAGCGAGAGCGAGAGAGAGAGGAGAGAGAGAAAGAAATAGAGAGTGCTGAGTCATACACACACACACACAACTAGGGCCCGTATACATAAAGCGTCTCAGAGTAGGAAGGTTGATCTCAGGTCCCCCCTGTCCATGTAATCTTATTCATTATGCTGTAAAAGGCTAAACTGATCCTAGACCAGCACTCCTACCCTGATGTAAGTCAGTCTCTCCTCAACATATTTTCCATTGACTACTTCCTGTTCTCCCTGCACTTTATAGCCTCAACCTCCAGCACCACTCACCGGGGACTGGCCATGTCTTGGGGAAGGTGAAACCACTCCTGTAGTTTGGCCTCTAGGCCCACTCCCACCTGTGTAACAGATAGAGAGGGGCACTGAAAGGGGGCAGCAACATACAGTGGGGTCCGAAATTATTGGCACCCTTGATAAATATGAACAAAAAAATACTGTAAAATAAAAACAAAAATACTATATTGTATGCTAAAAAAAAGTGGGAGAATTATACAATTGCTCAGAGAAAGAGATTCTGTTTAGCAGGTAATACATTAAAAAAAAAAGATATCTATATATACAGTGCATTTGGAAAGTATTCAGACCCCTCGACTTCTTTTCCACATTTTGTTATGTTACAGCCTTATTCTAACATTTATTAAATTGTTTTTTCCCCTCATCAATCTACGCACATTACACCATAATGACAAAGCAAAAACATGTTTTTATTTATTTTTTCACATTTACATAAGTATTCAGACAATTTACTCAGTACTTTGTTGAAGCACCTTTAGCAGCGATTACAGCCTCAAGTATTTTTGGGTATGACGCTACAAGCTTTGCACACCTGTATTTAGGGAGTTTCTCCCATTCTTCTCTGCAGATCCTCTCAAGCTCTGTCAGGTTGGATGGGGAGCGTTGCTGCACAGCTATTTTCAGGTTAAAGTCCGGGCTCTGGCTGGGCCACTCAAGGACATTCAGAGACTTGTCCCGAAGCCACTACTGCGTTGTCTTGACTGTGTGCTTAGGGTCGTTGTCCTGTTGGAAGGTGAACCTTCGCCCCAGTCTGAGGTCCTGAGCGTTCTGGAGCAGGTTTTCATCAAGGATCTCTCTGTACCTCGATCCTGACTAGTCTCCCAGTCCCCACAGCATGATGCTGCCACCACCATGCTTCACCGTAGGGATGGTATTGGCCAGGTGATAAGCGGTGCCTGGTTTCCTCCTGACCTGACAGTTGGCATTCAGGCCAAAGAGTTCAATCTTGGCTTCATCAGACCAGAGAATCTTGTTTTTTCATGGTCTGAGAGTCCTTTAGGTGCCTTTTGGCAAACTCCAAGCGGGCTGTCATGTGCCTTTTACTGAGGAATTGCTTCCGTCTGGCCACTCTACCATAAAGGCCTGATTGGTGGAGTGCTGCAGAGATGGTTGTCCTTCTGGAAGGTTCTCCCATCTCCACAGAGGAACTCTGTAGCTCTGTCAGAGGGACCATCAGGTTCTTGGTCACCTCCCTGACCAAGACCCTTCTCCCCCGATTGCTCAGTTTGGCCGGGCGGCCAGCTGTAGGAAGAGTCTTGGTGGTTCCAAACTTCTTCCATTTAAGAATGATGGAGGCCACTGTGTTCTTGGAGACCTTCAATGCTGCAGAAATGTTTTGGAACCCTTCCCCAGATCGGTGCCTCAACACAATCCTGTCTCGGAGCTCTACGGACAATTCCTTCGACCTCATGGCTTGGTTTATGCACTGTCAACTGTGGGACCTTATAAATATGTGTGCCTTTCCAAATCATGTCCAATCAATTGAATTTACCACAGGTGGACTCCAATAAAGTTGTAGAAACATCTCAAGGATGATCAATGGAAACAGGATGCACCTGAGCTCAATTTCGAGTCTCATAGCTAAGGGTCTGAATACTTATGTAAATAAGGTATTTCTGTTTTTTAGTTTTAATACAAACATTTCTATAAACCTGTTTTCAATTTGTCATTACAGGGTATTGTGTGTAGATTGATGAGGGAAACAAAATTAATTTAAATCAATTTGTAGAATAAGGCCTGGTAACGAACAAAGTGGAAAAAGTGAAGGGGTTTAATACTTCCGAATGCACTATATATATATATATACATGGGGAGAACAAGTATTGATACACTGCCGTTTTGAGGTTATATTACAAAGCATGTATCATTTTTATATAGTACATACTTTACATTTACATTTATCATTAGCAGACGTACAGAGCGACTTAAGTAGTGAACAATTTTTTATACTGGCCCCCGTGGATCGAACCCACAACCTGGCGTTTGTTGCATGCTTATCAATGAGTACATCCTATTCCCTCCCCTACCCGAAAGGGCAATTGTGCGCGCCCAGAGTCCGGTCGCAGCCGTGCGAAAGCTGATTGAACCAGGATCTCTTGGCAAGTTCACTGCGAGCGTGCCTAGACCACTGCGCCACTCACTTCAACTGTGAGAGACAAAAAATCCCAGAAAATCATATTGTATGATTTTAAGTAATTAATTTACACTTTTATTGCAATGACATAAGTATTTGATACATCAGAAAAGCAGAACTTAATATTTGGTACAGAAACCATTGTTTGCAATTACAGAGATCATACGTTTCCTGTAGGTCTTGACCAGGTTTGCACACACTGCAGCAGGGATTTTGGCCCACTCCTCCATACAGACCTTCTCCAGATCCTTCAGGTTTCGGGGCTGTCGCTGGGCAATACAGACTTTCAGCTCCCTCCAAAGATTTTCTATTGGGTTCAGGTCTGGAGACTGGCTAGGCCACTCCAGGACCTTGAGATGCTTCTTACGGAGCCACTCCTTAGTTGCCCTGGCTGTGTGTTTCGGGTCGTTGTCATGCTGGAAGACCCAGCCACGACCCATCTTTGATGCTCTTACTGAGGGAAGGAGGTTGTTGGCCAAGATCTCGCGATACATGGCCGCATACATCCTCCCCTCAATACGGTGCAGTCGTCCTGTCCCCTTTGCAGAAAAGCATCCCCAAAGAATGATGTTTCCACCTCCATGCTTCACGGTTGGGATGGTGTTCTTGGGGTTGTACTCATCCTTCTTCTTCCTCCAAACACGGCGAGTGGAGTTTAGACCAAAAAGCTATATGTTTGTCTCATCAGACCACATGACCTTCTCCCATTCCTCCTCTGGATCATCCAGATGGTCATTGGCAAACTTCAGACGGGCCTGGACATGCGCTGGCTTGAGCAGGGGGACCTTGCGTGCGCTGCAGGATTTTAATCCATGACGGCGTAGTGTGTTACTAATGGTTTTCTTTGAGACTGTGGTCCCAGCTCTCTTCAGGTCATTGACCAGGTCCTGCCGTGTAGTTCTGGGCTGATCCCTCACCTTCCTCATGATCATTGATGCCCCACGAGGTGAGATCTTGCATGGAGCCCCAGACCGAGGGTGATTGACCGTCATATTGAACTTTTTCCATTTTCTAATAATTGCGCCAACAGTTGTTGCCTTCTCACCAAGCTGCTTACCTATTGTCCTGTAGCCCATCCCAGCCTTGTGCAGGTCTACAATTTTATCCCTGTACAGTGAGGGAAACAAGTATTTGATCCCCTGCTGATTTTGTACGTTTGCCCACTGACAAAGAAATGATCAGTCTATCATTTTAATGGTAGGTTTATTTGAACAGTGAGAGACAGAATAATAACAAAAAAATCCAGAAAAACGCATGTCAAAAATGTTATAAATTGATTTGCATTTTAATGAGGGAAATAAGTATTTGACCCACTCCCAGGTGTCTTTTATACAGGTAACGAGCTGAGATTAGGAGCACACTCTTAAAGGGAGTGCTCCTAATCTCAGTTTGTTACCTGTATAAAAGACACCTGTCCACAGAAGCAATCAATCAATCAGATTCCAAACTCTCCACCATGGCCAAGACCAAAGAGCTCTCCAAGGATGTCAGGGACAAGATTGTAGACCTACACAAGGCTGGAATGGGCTACAAGACCATCGCCAAGCAGCTTGGTGAGAAGGTGACAACAGTTGGTGCGATTATTCACAAATGGAAGAAACACAAAATAACTGTCAATCTCCCTCGGCCTGGGGCTCCATGCAAGATCTCACCTCGTGGAGTTGCAATGATCATGAGAACGGTGAGGAATCAGCCCAGAACTACACGGGAGGATCTTGTCAATGATCTCAAGGCAGCTGGGACCATAGTCACCAAGAAAACAATTGGTAACACACTACGCTGTGAAGGACTGAAATCCTGCAGCGCCCGCAAGGTCCCCTTGCTCAAGAAAGCACATATACAGGGCCGTCTGAAGTTTGCCAATGAACATCTGAATGATTCAGAGGAGAACTGGGTGAAAGTGTTGTGGTCAGATGAGACCAAAATCGAGCTCTTTGGCATCAACTCAACTCGCCGTGTTTTGAGGAGGAGGAATGCTGCCTATGACCCCAAGAACACCATCAAACATGGTGGTGGAAACATTATGCTTTGGGGGTGTTTTTCTGCTAAGGGGACAGGACAACTTCACCGCATCAAAGGGACGATGGACGGGGCAATGTACCGTCAAATCTTGGGTGAGAACCTCCTTCCCTCAGCCAGGGCATTGAAAATGGGTCGTGGATAGGTATTCCAGCATGACAATGACCCAAAACACACGGCCAAGGCAACAAAGGAGTGGCTCAAGAAGAAGCACATTAAGGTCCTGGAGTGGCCTAGCTAGTCTCCAGACCTTAATCCCATAGAAAATCTGTGGAGGGAGCTGAAGGTTCGAGTTGCCAAACGTCAGGCTCGAAACCTTAATGACTTGGAGAAGATCTGCAAAGAGGAGTGGGACAAAATCCCTCCTGAGATGTGTGCAAACCTGGTGGCCAACTACAAGAAACGACTGACCTCTGTGATTGCCAACAAGGGTTTTGCCACCAAGTACTAAGTCATGTTTTGCAGAGGGGTCAAATACTTATTTCCCTCATTAAAATGCTAATCAATTTATAACATTTTTGACATGCGTTTTTCTGGATTTTGTTGTTGTTATTCTGTCTCTCACTGTTCAAATAAACCTACCATTAAAATTATAGACTGATAATTTCTTTGTCAGTGGGCAAACATACAAAATCAGCAGGGGATCAAATACTTTTTTCCCTCACTGTATATATTAGTCAACAACCTGGTTGCCTCTGCCATGAGGCTGAAACTTGGCCGCAAGTGGATCTTGCAGAGGGTAGTGCGTACGGCCCAGTACATCACTGGGGCCAAGCTTCCTGCCATCCAGGACCTCTATACCAGGCGGTGTCAGAGGAAGGCCCTCAAAATTGTCAAAGACTCCTGCCACCCTAGTCATAGACTGTTCTCTCTGCTACCGCACGGCAAGCGGTACCGGAGTGCCAAGTCTAGGTCCAAAAGACTTCTCAACAGCTTCTACCCCCAAGCCATAAGACTCCTGAACAGCTAATCATGGCTACCCAGACTATTTGCACTGCCCCCCCACCCCCACCCCCCACCCCATCTTTTTACGCTGCTGCTACTCTGTTAATTATTTATGCATAGTCACTTTAACTCTACCCACATGTACATATTACTTCAACTACCTCAACTAGCCGGTGCCCCCGCACATTGACTCTGCACCGGTACACCCCTGTATATATAGCCTCCCTACTGTTATTTTATTTTACTTCTGCACTTTTTTCTCAACACTTTTTTGTTGTTGTTCTATTTAACTTTTTTATTAAAATAAATGCACTGTTGGTTAAGGGCTGTAAGTAAGCATTTCACTGTAATGTCTACACCTGTTGTATTCTGCGCATGTGGCCAATACATTTTGATTTGATTTGATTTGATCTTCCAGCAAGACAATAACCCCAAGCACACATCAAAATCAACAAAGAAATGGTCAATTGACCACAAAATCAACATTTTGCAATGGCAATCTCAGTCTCCAGACTAGAGATCTTCACAGATCCACCCGTACCCGAATGCCCGAGGCCCGATCCGAGTAGGTCCGGATCCAGAATTCTAAATAATGTCACAGGTCTGGGTCAGATCTGATATGATTGTCAAGGGTCTCGGGTATGTGTAATTTTAACTGACTTGTCCAAAAGGACCTGTACAGATCCGAAAGTGACTGCTGCATTAGAGAGGGAGAGAGAGACATTGTATAATTTATGCTGCCGCCCCCGCCTGCTAGAGCGGAACCTTTCTCTCCCTCACGCTTTATCAGCTCCAGTTAATAAAATAGCTTAAAAATGGACTTTTCTTCTGCTTCCCTCACTGGGATCGGATCAGACCGGGTCTGGATCTGACCAGGTCTATGTGGAACAGGTCTAGTTGTCCTCGAGTCCGTTCGGAACGGGTCTCTATAATTAAAACATGTATTTTTGCATATCGGGTCCGGGTGGGAAAGCCTAGGTCCATTTCAGAACGTGTCAATTTTTTTTGACCCGTGAAGACCTCTACTCCATACTTGAAAATCATTGATAACCTGTGGTTCGAATTGAAGAGGGCAGTCCATAAGTACAGACCAAAACATATCAAGGATCTGGAAAATTTCTGTATGGAGGAATGGACTACGATCCCTCCCAATGTGTTGTCCAATCTCATAAAACATTTTAGGCTCAGTGCTGTTATCTTCGCAAGGTGAGGTATTGAAAGGTATTGAAAACAGGGGTGGCAACAATTTTGACCCTTATCTTTTTGAGAAAAATATAAATATTACTTGTTAAACAAAATCTCTTTCTCTGAGCAATTATATTAGCGTAAAATAATATAATTTCCCGATTTTCTGGAGCATACAATATTTTCATTGTTGGACATAAAAGACTGTAAAAACCCCAGGAAATCAGCTCCAAGTGATTTTCATTTAAGACATCTGTTCCCAAGTACTCTCACGCATAATAGAGAGACGTGCTCATATACAAATGTAAGCAAGGTTTGAAATTATTATGTTTTAGTATCTGTTTGGGCTTCTTGCGGTCAATTTGCAGTCAATTTATTTGTAATTATGTTCCAGCCCCCCAACCATCCGCTCTTGAAAAAAATTGGCCTGCGGCTGAATCTAGTTGCTGATCCCTGCCCTATGCACTTGTGGATATTTGAGAGGATTTGATTGGTATAAGCAATATGGTTTAACTTCCACCTAGCAGAAGGCAAGGTGGAGCTATTACCAAATTGATTTCACCTGTCATATCCTCTCAGATCTCCATAAGTGAATACGGCACAGGGCTTATGAGACGATTTGGGATTGGGCCAAACTCTCCTCCCAGCCGTTCCACTTACCTTGACCAGATAGGAGCCGGGCTCCACTGAGCATGCCCAGTAGTGCCTGCCCTGGGTGATGGCCACGTCGCCCACCAGGAGGTCTGCAGTCAGGTGACAGGAAGTGAGCGCTCGGTCGGCGGCCTGCAGCAGTGACAGGCCGGGGACGCTCCGGGCGCAGCGCTGCTCCTTACTCACCACCAGCCGGTCGGCATGGAGACCCCAGCGAGAGTCCAGGTAGAAATTTAACACTGAGAGAGGAGGGCAGGGGAGGATAGGGAGGTGGAGGGAGGGGGAAGGAGAGGGGGAAGGAGAGAGAGAGGGAGGGTGGAAGGAGCAGTGATTTTGCAGGAAATAGAGAAGAGGGAAGAGGAGGGTTTTGATGAGATAGAGTAGAGAAGCGAAGTAGGAGAGAGGGAAGAGGAGAAGGGCACAGAGGAGGTAAATACAGGGTAGTGCTGAGCGATTAGTGCTTTTTGAGGTCGGTTCGGTTTCGATTAGATTATTCAAAAATAATCACATTGTTTTATTTCGGTTTCGATAAAAGAAATTGACATTAAATGCAATATGCATTTTGTGGGTTAAATGTTGTAAAAACACAGAATAAAACAATTCATGATGGTAGTGACTGCTTATCACTTAATTTATTCACATTACTTTAATAAAATATTTGTTTTATTTGACGACTATATTATTTAATTCCAAGTCATCATCTCATCTCTATAGAGCTGCTGCCTATACTGCCTGACAAAATCACTATTTTAGTAGTTCTTCAAAGTAAAAAAGGCATACCTTTATGACTGCTGAAACTATCAATCACTTAGATCATGTATTTTCAGGCTTATGAAGCAACTGCTTTCTATCCCTCTTGATCGCACGTTCTCTCTTGTCTCAGTCTCCGCGTCTGCTCCGCACAGACCAGATAAGTTTAAGCGGGCGCGCAATGGATTATGGTCATTGTAGTTCATTACCCCATTTTCTGCACTAAACTATGTAGAATATTGGCCTGTTGGAAACTACAACTCCCTACTACATCGCACAGTTCAGGCTTGATCTGAGTTATCTCTACAGAAACTGCACATTGAGCTCATAGAAAAAAAACGGAACAAAATGGAATTCAAATAATTGAACCGATGTCGGTCAATTAGTTGTTAAAAAAAAAAAATATTTTGGTTAATCGCTCAGCACTATTACAGGGATAGAGGAGTAATAAGATATAGAATCAGGGCAACAAGGAAAGAACTGAGAGGGTTAACAGAGGAGAGGGATAAAGAACTGGAATGAAGAGAGGAGACATGGACTAGGAGAGAGGGAGTCAAACTGTCTTTCATCAACAAACTAGAAACTGATAGAAAACAGTCAAAGCAGAAGGTCAATCAAAGGAGAAGGATGCATCTTTCCTAAATTGGGATTATTATTGGGATTATTTTGGGGAAATATAGCAGAATAGAAGAATTTACCAGGGGAGACAAGGAATACATTGACCACTCCGGACTTCTCAGACTCATTAGCATAGATCTCAATCAACCAAATCCATTTGTTAAGCCTCAGGTTTTAACAAACAGCAAACCTCATCAACACACTCTGAGATCTCATTATGGGAGAGAGGGTAGAAAGAGGGTGTCTGGGAGGACAAGAGATGCATGGTATACATGTAAAAAGAGGTAGAGATATGTGCAAAGCAACAAGAGGAAGAATTCGAAAAGGGTGTCGATGCTCACACTAACAGGCACAGGGAGAAATGTGGATTGGGAGAGTGGATCTAGGAGCGGAATGAGTGAGATGAGGAGAGACATGTGAAGACAGTGTTAAGAGGATGGGTTGGATAGAGAGATGGGATGGGTAAAGAGAGGGATGGGAGGAGAGATGGATGGGAATGGGCAGAAAAATACAGAAATTAGTCATTAAGATGATCTCTATGGATACTGTTCTGATGCATATCAGCTATACCAAGACTTATGATGAGATCGTGTGTGTGTGTGTGTGTGTGTGTGTGTGTGTGTGTGTGTGTGTGTGTGTGTGTGTGTGTGCCTATAGAACAGTGTATAAACCTCACCTGGTGCTGGTGGAGTGTGTAGGTACACCTCCTCACTGTACTCCCCGAAGCCCGCCTTGTTGCAGCCTCTCACTCTCAACACATACACACTGTCCATCTCCAACCTGTCAATCACAGCACTGGTTCCGCCCACCTCCTCCAGCCGCTGCCAGCCCCAGCGGGCCGTAGCCAATCGCCCTTGGATACCACCCCTGGCTCCGCCTCCTGGCACCACCCCCCGGCGACGAAACTCCACTGAGAAGTGCCAGGCGGGGGTGGATTCCTGAGGCAGCCGCCAACACAGGAAGAGCTGGTCATAGGCCATGGTCTTTTGGGTGTCAATGACAGGGGCCAGAGGGGCTGATGGGAGAAAACGTTACAGCTGTCAGTCAGATGTTAGATACACAAACATACTCTCTGGCTTGATTACATATGCAATACTACCAACGTTCATTACAGTTTGCTAACGCATAGTTGAAGATACAATATGATGCAGTAATATGACATAATTAATGGTAGACTCAGCGAGAAGATGATGCCACAAGCAGCACCACAGATATTGAGATGAGCGTGATGCAAGACTTTGCTCTCACACAGTCACACAGAGTATCTGCGCATGTGCACTGGTGCGCTTCACACTGCTACAACGTGATAGCTACAGGACCAAAACAGAGTTGTTGCCGAAATTGACACACTACTGCTGTTTATCTTGTGCATCTATTTCATCTTGCCTTTAAATTGAATGACCACCAAAATGTTACATGATTGTATTCTGTAGAATGTGATTTCTCTTACATCCTCTATTTCCACTCCTATAGCCCTCTTTCAATACTCTGGCTCTAACCCTGCTCTCTGGCTGACTCTATCCCTCTACCCCTCCCTCCTATCCCCTCCTTCATCCTCCTCTCCTCCTCTGTCTCACCCTGGATGAACTGCAGGTCTGTGAGGAGTTTGAGCTCTTTGGAGACGTCCAGCTGGAAGTGTCTGAAGGAGGGATCAGCGGCCAGAGAGAAACACTGCAGCCCCTCGATGGACGTGGATAACCTTGGAGAGAGAGGAGGGAGAGAGAGGAGGGAGAGAGAGAGAGAGAAAGGGAGAGACTTTTAGAATAATTGTTTGGAAGTAGACAAGAAGTCAGAAGAGGAAGGTATGCACTACACAGACTTAACAACTGTATTATTAGGGTAACACGCAATTAGAGTAACTTTAGTTGATAGCAGATAGATTCATCTCGGTTAATCCAGAACTAAAGTCTCACGTAATTGGTCAACTGCTCGATTAAATTCTGGGTCCATACATGTTAAGAGAAGGGACTAAGAGACGCTAGAACGAGGAGCTCCAACTTCTCTCTTTGCAAGTTACGGGCCAAATGCCCCCTCCCCTTCCGAAATCCGAAAGATGCTAATACCAGCGAAATCGTAATTTGTCCAAATAACCAGTGACGAAAAACCCAAACACCGGAACTACTGCTGCTTGTTATCCCACGCAACCCATTCCATTCCCTACAGATTCTACGGTACCAGTTATGTTTATGTAGATCTGTCCACGAGAGATTAGATACTGTAGATTAATGAGAGACTACATACTGTAGCAGTCTACTGTCTACCTGTATAACTACATGTTTCATGCCACTAATCCAGTGTCAGTCTAACAACCCATCATTGGAAACAGTGAACACTGGTTGGAGCACAACTACATAGAACACCATCACTAAAGCCACGCCATGTTATCTTTATCAAACAGGTCTACTGGCTCCCTCTTGTGGCCATTTGTCATTTTGCTGATGATGTGGGATGAGCAGTGAACGCATACACAAAAGAGGGGAAGAAGAACAGACATGGGTAGAAGGAGTGGCTGAGAGGAGGGAGGAGAAATGGAACAATAAGAACAGAGAAACATACAAACAAACAAACAAACAAAGGTACATAAAAATCAACAAACAACAAAACTAGGGAGCTAAACAGCCCTGAGTATTTGCCCAAAATAGCACCCTATTCCCTACAGTGCACTACTTTTGACCACAACTCTATGGGGAATAGTGTGATATTTGTTTAAGAATAGGGTGCTATTTGTATAAGTTTCCACGCTGTCTGCTGTCCAGCCAGTCAGACCTGCTGTGTGTCTGGCGTGCTGCCTGGACGAAGCAGGGCGGGTCCGTCTCCTTCAGCAGCTCCTGGGAGAACGCCATGAGGCCTGCATGTTCTAGCAGGCTCCGCCTCTCCGCCACCTGGCCCGCCAATGCCTCGCCCCGTCTCTGCCGTGTCCCTTCCAGGGCCTGGGCCAATGAGGCGTAGCGCTCAGCGAGGTGGGAGGTTCAGGTCTCTCACGCTCTGAGACAGCTGCTCCCGTGCCGCTACACTGTTCGCCTGTGGACAGACAGCAACACACAGGTAGGAGTAGGACCATAGAGATATAATGTATTTAAATCTATATTATTCTAGAATCGTGTTCTATTTCATTCTGTGGTTAAGACTGGCTACGCTGTTCAACATTCAGATAGAAACACACAGGGAGGTTAGGAGGACCACAGAGATTATGTATTAGACAGCAACACACAGATTAGGACCATAGAGCTATGTATTATAAATACAGTTAACATTAGCATATGATGTCTACTGTGGTAAACAATGCTGTCCAAGGTGGTGTGGCCAGTAGGATCAATGAGTTAGCCAACTAACTTGCTTAAATATTATTATATATTATTGCCCGCGCAGTGGAGCTCATATGATGAATTGGCTATTTGTTTACTTAGCCAGCTAACAAGTTGCTTTTTTAAAGAAAACTTGGTCTAATTAACTCAACATCCAAAATAACATATCTAAGTTCAACTTTCTTAATGAATCAATAGTTATTTCTGGTTGTTTATTAAAGTTAGCTGGCTAACTAATTGATCCTCCTTTGTAGTATACCCCTCTGGTGGGGTATTTCTGGAGCTCTGCAGACTGCAGTATTATTTAGTTACCTCTGTCTGAGTGATGGCACTCTCCAGCTGTGAGATCTGGCCCAGCACTGTCTCCTGGTTGGACAGAATGTAGTTCATCTCCTTGGTAATCTTGTCCTGTCAAATAAACAGTGACAACAAATAAACAAAGAGTTAATGCCCAGACCAGACCAGACTTCCTCCTAATGCACAACAGTAGCTCTGTATTACCCTACATGTTAACTGTATCTCTTACATACTGGATGATCTAAACCCACAGTTCAATGGCGACTCCTACCCCTTTTCTGTCATGCACTGTACTACTAGACTAACCACCAACCATTGAGGGCCAATCTCCATTGTGTGTGATATCCACTAATGCAATTGAGTATAACAATATTGCCATTTGGGTACTTTTATTCAAAGCAGCTCATAGGTATTACATACATTATTCAGTAAATTCCACAGTATAAGGCCAATGCAGGAACCATGCTACAATCAATTAAGCCATTGCACCCAGATGCCCACCTTGAGTGTCTGGTAGGCCTGGGCGACTGGCGCCACCTTGTGCCCGGCATGGACGCGGCGCAGCTTGCAGAGCGGGCACAGCAACCTCTGGCATGTCCTACAGTAGAAGTGCAGACGCTCCTGGTCATGCTCCGGACACGACAGAACCTGGAGGAGGAGGACAGGCAAGAGGGATGAGAGAGGAGAGAGGGGGATGAGAGAGAGAGAGAGAGAGAGAGAGAGAGAGAGAGAAGAGAGGAGAGAGAGAGAGAGAGAGAGAGAGAGGAGAGGAGAGAGAGAGGAGAGGAGAGAGAGAGAGAGAGAGAGAGAGAGAGAGAGATGAGAGAGGAGAGAGGAGAGAGAAGAGAGAGATGAGAGAGGAGAGAGGAGAGAGAGAGGGATGAGAGAGGAGAGAGAGATGAGGGAGGAGAGGGAAGAGAGATGAGGGAGGAGAGAGGGGGATGAGAGAGGAGAGAGAGATGAGGGAGGAGAGAGAGATATGAGGGAGGAGAGAGGGGGATGAGAGAGGAGAGAGAGGGATGAGAGAGGGATGAGGGAGGAGAGAGTGATGAGAGAGAGGAGAGAGATGAGGGAGGAGAGAGGGGGATGAGAGAGGAGAGAGAGAGAGATAGGGATGAGAGAGGAGAGAGAGGGATGACAGAGGAGAGAGAGATATGAGGGAGGAGAGAGAGTGATGAGGGAGAGGCAGGCCTCACCTTGGGCCTGAAGTTGAGGGTGGGCTGGACGTGTTCGTGCTGGGCGCGCGGCGTTCCCCAGGGGTGGTAGAGCTTGAAACACTCATTACAGAAGCTGGCTTGGCAGTCGGCGCAACCCTTAGTGGCCTCCAGGGACAGGGGAGGCTTGCAAAACTGACACATCACAGCCACACTCCCTAGGCTCACTGTGTGTCTGTACCTAAGAGAGGGGGGGAGGGGAGGAGGGGAGAGAGGGAGGGAGAGGGGGAGAGGAAGATAGAGAGGGATGAGAGGAGCAGGGGAGAGAGGGAGGGAGACAGGGGAGAGGAAGATAGAGAGGGATGAGAGGAGCAGGGGAGAGAGGGAGGGAGACAGAGGAGAGGAAGATAGAGAGGGGGGAGAGGAGGAGGGGAGAGAGGGAGACAGGGAGACAGGGGAGAGGAAGATAGAGAGGGGGAGAGGGGAATGATTAAAGGGAGGAGGGTAGGAGAGAGAGAGCATAGGCGAATTAGGGGAGGATAGTAGTAGAAAGGGGGTGGGCGAAGAAAGGCGAAAGAAAAAGAGACAAAAAAAATGATGGAAGGAGAGAACAGGGCCAAGACAGAGCGAGAGGGGATGGGTAGACAGGGTGATAAATAACATAAGAGGTTACTCTACATGGGGAAAATAAGCTGTTAGCAGTTACACTGCAGTAGTCCAGTGTAAGTACAGTGTCTGTCTGCTACAGTAGCTTGCTACAGTGTGTCGCAGTGTCTGGGAGCTCTGCTAATTTCATCTCTAGGTCAGCTCCATGCTGATTAACAAGAGTCAGCACGTGGCACCCTATTCCCTATATAGTGCACTTCTTTTGACCAGGGCCCAGACTATTTTTGACCAGGGTGCCATTTGGAAAGCAGTACTTGGACACTCTCACTCACTGTGGCTAAAGGGGCTAAAGACGCTACTAATTGAAATGTTCCACAATAGCATACCCTGCAACATTTAGACCACTATACAGTGTGAATGTGTGTGTGTGTGTGTCACGGGTGAGATCTGAACTGATTGGGAAACCAACGACTTCAACAAACCTAGAGGAAATTCCTTCGCGACGGTGACACTGATTTTGCAGACAAGGTAAGACTGGGCAATATGGCCAAAATATCATATCAAGGTATTTTATGTTTTTGAATAATAAAGTTCTAAATTTGCTTTATGAGAAGTGTGTGACCCTAGGGTGGCAACACATACATTCTAAGTGATTTCAATGGGTCTTTCTCCCTTCTGATTGTTTTATACTGTTCAATTCAAACAACAATTATTTTCAGCATGATCCATTTCTGCATTTCCTGCACTCATTTGAGATCATTTCCACACTGCCACGTAGGGCTGCACGATATGGGCAAACAATTTAGGCCTTATTTCAAAATAAAATGTTGCAATTGCGATTTAGAGCAAAACATTTGGGTGAACTGTTGGAATCATGGAAATAGATTGATTATTATAGGTCTATAGTTAGACTATAACAGTGAGCACTTTGAATGCAGTGTTGTTTGACATGACAACGAATAAAAATGCCAGGGAGGAGTTATTGTGACAGGGTAGGAACCAAAGTGATGGTCAGTGTTTCATAAGGGACCCTATAACCTTTGACTACATTGAATGTTTTCTCATAGCTACTTCATGTAGCTAACATATTCATGCTTCGGGTATTCCTCTTTGATTTAGAAGATGCTGTTGCACAAACAACATGCTGATTTAAGTCGCACCATCCCTGGTATTATCAGGCTGTATAGCTAGTTACGTTTGCTCTGACTCAGTACATTTATCAGCTAACCAGCTAACTAGCGATTAGCATTAGCGGCAAACACGATTTAGGCCCAACTTGCTAAGAAAAGACAAACTAGCCATTTGCAGATGTAAGAAACACAAACTATTAGTGTAATTATAGAACGCTAGTGGATTTATATTAAGAAGCAAAGTGAAAACAGCATTGTTGTCATCAACATTGTTGCATGTGCTGCATTGACCGTGCAGACTAAACGCAAGTGTCTCGTTGTCGAGGAACAACAAATGCGTTCCTTGAATGACAGGGGACAGGGCTAGGTCTGTGTGGAAAGTGGCATGGAGAGAGATGACTCAGGTAGAGAGTAAACTATAAAAATGGACGTTACACATGGTGTATCACATTTAACAAACCAAACATTCAAATACCGTTATAGAAGGTGAAGTAAAAACCCAAACCAGGCCGTGCATCAATACCGGTACATCGTAAAATACGGTATACTGCCCAGGGCTACCTCCTCCCTTACAGAAAAACACAATTTCACATGTGTCAAATCACATGATTTCATGTCGAACAATTCACATGTGATCACGTGTTTTCACATGTGTAGTTTCATGTTATCACATGTTGCTTTACATGATATTACCTTAACTTCACATAAGATCACATGGGATCACATAAAATTCATGTGGTTTTTCCGTAAGAGCTCACAAGTCCATGAGCCGACTCACCTCCACTACGTGTCTGTGCATGCCTGTGCATACGTGCATGTGTGCGTGCGTGTATAAATGTAAGTGTGTATAAGTGTGTGTGTTACCTTTCTACAATGCGCTCCAAGGTGAGGTTACGCAGGCAGTCAGTTAGGCCCTTCTCTCCCAGCTCTACCTCCCTCCCACAGGGCGGGCATGGAAACAACATCGCAGGGGGTGGTTCCTTACGCCGTCGCCCCGGCGACGGATACGTCCCAAATCCTGGACACAGGGTGGCAGAGGGGGAGAAGTCAGTCAGTGGGATGAGGAGAGAGGGATAGGTAAAGAGTGGAGGAAATAGAGAGAAAGAGAGAATCAGAGAAGGATGTGTGTATTCCCATCGCATCCCCAGACTAGTCCTATTGATTGTCACTTGACATTGAATCTAAAGATACATACACACACTCTCTCTCTCACGTGCAAACACACACTCACACACACACACATTACCTGAACGTAGCACGCGGTCGATGGGTCGATGGTCAGCCTTGCAGGGCATGGGCCTGCGTGGCTGGCGGGGAGAGCGGGTGTTGGGGGTGGAGGCAGGAGAGTTGGGCTCGGGTGGCAGCTCCGGAGGAGGGTAGCCATTTTTAACCAGGACCTCGGAGGCACACATCAGGCAGACGCTGTGCTGACATGGCAGGACCACGGGCTGCTTGACGATCTCCTTACACACTGGGCAATGCAGCTCGCACTCCATGCTCTTTACGTTAGACTGGGGAGGAGGGAGAGGTGGAGAGTCAATGAATCACGCAGGTAGATAGACAGACCTGAGGGGGTCCTGTGTGGCTCGGTGGTAGAGCATGGCGCTTGTGACGCCAGGGTTGTGGGTTTGATTCCCATGGGGGACCAGTACAAAAAACGATGAGAATGTGTGCACTCACTACTGTAAGTCGCTCTGGATAAGAGCATCTGGTAAATGACTCAAATGTAATATAATGTAAATGGCGAATCACTTTGATATTCAAGGGAATTAATTAATTGAATTAAAACAAACCCACCTAGAGGGGGTAGAAGGATGAATTTATAGTGTTTGAAAAGAGAACGAAGTAAGTACACAGCACGGGACCAAAATAGAGGAATAACATGAAGAAGAGGTATTGAAATAAAACACATATAAAACAGTTGTACCACCAACTACCATTAACTGCAGCATTCAAGATGCTACAGGCCCTGGTCAAAAATAGTGCACTATATAGGGAATAGAGTGCCATTTGGGATGCAGACATAGTGTGAGAGAGGGAAGAGATTTCTCTAGCTAAGTGTTACCACGTGACAGTTTAACAGTTGTTTTATAAATAGCTGTCCTCAATGGCTGTCAGAGCAGTGGGAGACTCATTAAATATCAATAAGGAAGGAGGACCAGACGTAAATTATTTAATTCCTGCACACGCCTGGTCCGGAGTGTGTGTGGACGTGTTTAACTATTCTTGTGGGGACCAGAAGTATCCTGCAGGACTGTGTGTGTGTGTGTGTGTGTGTGTGTGTGTGTGTGTGTGTGTGTGTGTATGTGTGTGTGTGTGTGTGTGTGTGTGTGTGTGTGTGTGTGTGTGTGTGTGTTGTGTGTGTGTGTGTGTGTGTGTGTGTGTGTGTGTGCGTGTGTGTGTGTGTGTGTGTGTGTGTGTGGTGTGTTTGTGTGTGTTTGTGTGTGACGCCTGGTCCCGATGACTTCATTCTACACATGACCACTGCTGTATAGACTGGTGCTGCCTATTGTCACACACACCATACCTGGGCCCGTATTCATAAAGCGTCCTGCAGGAGTGATAATCTAGGATCAGTTCTGCATTTTAGATCATAATAAATAAGATCTACATGGACAGGGGGACCTGATCCTAGATCAGCACACTGAAGCTTTATGAACACAGACCTAGATTGGAAGGATGAATGCACCTGTAATGCTGAAGATAGTGTGTCCCTAAGATCTGGACAGTGGACACTGATAGGTCCAAGACTAGGTGTGTTGCTTCTAATCTGTGGTTGCCCTTGACAGAGGTCTGAGAGATTCAATTCTGGCTAAAACAGATCATAATGAGTAAGATTACATGGACAGGGGGGAACCTGATCCTAGATCAGCATTCCTACTCTGAGTGAAGGAAATGAATGAATTAATGAATGAATTAATTAATTAAATCACCCTTTAAACTGTAGTAAAATCAGTAGCCTAACGGTTGCAGGATGCATCAATACTGATAGCAGCTCTGGTCATAGTCGAAGACGTTGTATAAAAATAAGGGTGGGAGGGAAACAGTGCTCTACTCCAGCAGTCTTTCACTAAGGGATATTTCAGTGGCACAATGACATCATTCCAGGAAAGGGTTCTATGAAATAAGTAATGGAAATGTAGATTCTAGCCAATAAATAGGCTATCCAAAACTCAGCTCCTAAAGCTGAGGCTCCAGAAACTGACTCTCACACACACACACTCACTCACTCACTCACTCACTCACTCACTCACTCACTCACTCACTCACTCACTCACTCACTCACTCACTCACTCACTCACTCACTCACTCACACACACACACACACACACACACACACACACACACACACACACACACTCACACACTGACACTCACAGTGACACACTCACACACACACTGACACACAAGTTAATCAGTACATTAAACTAACCAATATCCATTCTATTGATTGCTCTGATGCAAGGGGAGAGGAGGATGACAACCTTCCTTTGAATTTTCTAAACCAGTCACATCCACTTAAATTACATGATTTGTATTTGATTATAAGCTTTAAGCAACACTATAGCACAGCCTAAATCACTTGATACTTTTCCAACATGACAGTTTTTTTCAATCACTTTGGCACATTTTTCAGATATACAGTGCACTAAGAAAGGATTCAGACACCTTGATTTCTTCCACATTTTGTTACGGCACAGCCTCATTCTAAAATGGATTAAATTGTTTTTTCCCCTCATCAATCTACACACAATACCCCATAATGACAAAGCAAAACAGGTTTTTAGACATTTTGACATATTTATTACTAATAAAAACCGGAAATATCACATTTACATAAGTATTCAGTCCCTTTACTCAGTACTTTGTTAAAAGCACCTTTGGCAGCGATTACAGACTCAAGTATTTTTGGGTATGACGCTAAAAGCTTTGCACACCTGTATTTGCACACCCATTCTTCTCTGCAGATCCTCTCAAGCTCTGTCAGGTTGGATGGGGAGCGTCGCTGCACAGCTATTTTCAGGTCTCTCCAGAGCTGTTAAATCGGGTTCAAGTCCGGGCTCTGGCTGGGCCACTCAAGGACATTCAGAGACTTGTCCCGAAGCCACTCCTGCATTTTCTTGGCTGTGTGCTTAGAGTTGTTGTCCTGTTGGAAGGTGAACCTTCGCCCCAGTCTGAGGTCCTTAGTGCTCTGGAGCAGGTTTTCATCAAGAATCTCTTTGTACTTTACTTCGTTCATCTTTCCCTCGATCCTGACTAGTCCCTCAGTCCCTGCCGCTGAAAAACATCCCCACAGCAAGATGGTACCAGCAAGATGGTACCAGGTTTCCTCCAGACGTGACGCTTGGCATTCAGGCCAAAGATTTCAATCTTGGTTTCATCAGAGCAGAGAATCTTGTTTCTCAGTCCTTTAGGTGCCTTTTGGCAAACTCCAAGTGGGCTGTCATGTGCCTTTTACTGAGGAGTGGCTTCCGTCTGGCCTCTCTACCATAAAGGCCTGATTGGTGGAGTGCTGCAGAGATGGTTGTCCTTCTGGAAGGTTCTCCCATCTCCACAGAGGAACTCTGGAGCTCTGTCAGAGTGACCATCGGGTTCTTGGTCACCTCCCTGACCAAGGCCCTTCTCCCCCAATTGCTCAGTTTGGCCGGAGGGCCAGCTCTAGGAAGAGTCTTGGTGGTTCCAAACTTCTTCCATTTAAGAATGATGGAGGCCACTGTGTTCTTGGGGACCTTCAATGCTGCAGACATTTTTTGGTACCATTCCCCAGATCTTTGCCTCGACACAATCCTGTCTCGGAGCTCTACGGCCAATTCCTTCGACCTCATGGCTTGGTTTTTGCTCTGACATGCACTGTCAACTGTGAGACCTTATATAGACATGTGTGTGCCTTTCCAAATCATGTCCAATCAATTGAATTTAACACAGGTGGACTCCAATAAAGTTGTAGAAACATCTCAAGGATGATCAATGGAAACAGGATGCACCTGAGCTCAATTTCGAGTCTCATAGCAAAGGGTCTGAATACTTAAGTAAATAAGGTATTTCTGTTTTTTATTTTTAATACATTTGCAAAAAATTCTAAAAACCTGTTTTCACTTTGTCATTATGGGGTATTGTGTGTAGATTTATTTTAATTTATTATAGAAAAAGGCTGTAACGTAACAAAATGTGGAAAAAGTCAATGGGTCTGAATACTTTCCAAATGCACTGTAAGTGGTATTTAAAAAAAAATCTAAGTACAAAACTCTAAACTGATAACACTTGTAATGGCCCCTATCTTTTTTAAATAACTTTTGATTGTGCATTCATTGGGGTTTCACATATCTTTCACCACTGAGTCATTCATGCAAAATCCAAGTTTTCCGTGAAATACCATGAGCACATTTTATTTAGTCTCCAATACCTCAGATAATGATAGGCTCACCATTTAGTCATTTTAACTACCATTTAATCCAATAGCCAAATAATACAAGATACACATTTCGAAACTGTTCTTTTTGAAGTGCTGAATAGAAAGAATAGTAGATGGTAAATATAAATTTCCATACAGTATTTGACTATAGAAAGCAAAGGTAACCTGCCTAAATGATTACCGCCCCGTAGCCCTCACGTTGGTAGCCATGAAGTGCTTTGAAAGGCTGGTCATGGCTCACATCAACACCATCATGCCGGAATCACTAGACCCACTCCAATTCGCATACCGCCCCAACAGATCCACAGATGACGCAATCTCAATCGCACTCCACACGGCCCTTTCCCACCTGGACAAAAGGAACACCTATGTGAGAATGCGGTTCATTGACTACAGCTCAGCGTTCAACACCATAGTGCCCACAAAGCTCATCACTAAGCTAAGGACCCTGGGACTAAACACCTCCCTCTGCAACTGGATCCTGGACTTCCTGACGAGCTGCCCTCAGGTGGTAAGGGTAGGAAACAACACATCTGCCACGCTGTTCCTCAACACTGGGGCCCCTCAGGGGTGCGTGCTTAGTCCCCTCCTGTACTCCCTGTTCACCCACGACTGCGTGGCCAAGCACGACTCCAACACCATCATTAAGTTTGCTGACGACACAACAGTGGTAGGCCTGATCACCGACAACGATGAGACAGCCTATAGGGAGGAGGTCAGAGACCTGTCAGTGTGGTGCCAGGACAACAACCTCTCCCCCAATGTGAGCAAGACAAAGGAGCTGATCGTGGACTATAGGAAAAGGAACGCCGAACAGGCCCCCATTAACATTGACAGGGCTGAAGTGGAGCGGGTCGAGAGTTTCAAGTTCCTGGTGTCCACATCACCAACGAACTATCATGGTCCAAACAAACCAAGACAGTTGTGAAGAGGGCACGACAACACCTTTTCCCCCTCATGAGACTAAAAAGATTTGGCATGGGTCTCCAGATCCTCAAAAAGTTATACAGCTGCACCATCGAGAGCATCCTGACAGGTTGCATCATCGCCTGGTATGGCAACTGCTCGGCATCTGACCGTAAGGCGTTACAGAGGGTAGTGCGTACGGCCCAGTACATCACTGGGGCCAAGCTTCCTGACATCCAGGACCTATATACTAGGCGGTGTCAGAGGAAGGTCCAAACATTTTTCAAAGACTCCAGTCACCCAAGTCATAGACTGTTCTCTCTGCTACAGCACGGCAAGTGGTACCGGAGCACTATGTCTAGGACCAAAGGCTCCTTAACAGCTTCTACCCCCAAGCCATAAGACTGCTGAACAATTAATCAAATGGCCACCCGGACTATTTACATTGACGGTAAGGTCTACACCTGTTGTATTTGCCGCATGTGACAAATAAAATTTGATTTGATTATAACTTGACATACGCCATTTTTATATCATTTGTATCCAATGGCAGGTTGTGAGTATGTTGGGAAATATGTCAGTCTTACGGTTTCATTATCCTTATACAGTACAAACGTAGGACAAATCATCAGAAATATGGGGTAATGTAAAGCAGTTAAAATAAATACAAAATAAGAAGTTTTATTGTCACATATTGTAGCATGGTGTTGTATGTCATTTCTGGCCCTTGCAACATTGTACAAGTTCACCTTTTCTATGTGTTTCTATACAATATCTCCTATCTCTCTGCTCGACAAAATTAATCAGCTTACAGTGTATCATTGAAATTCAGATAATGAGTGGAATATATTGTTATATACAACCCATGTAGTTTAGCAGTGCATTGTACACTACACTATAATTACAAATGGTAGCACATAAGAGTGACTCTTTCCACTTTGAAGCACACTGGCTTATGGAGAATGATTGTGTCGTATTTACAGTCACATCCATATACAGTATGATTTCGTTTTACCTTCCAACATAAATTGGTGTCTAATTGATACATTTATGAGGTAAAAATATAGAAATATACAGTTATCAAACTATACACGGGGCCCCGTGTAGCTCAGTTGGTAGAGCATGGCGCTTGCAACGCCAGGGTTGTGGGTTAGTTTCCCACGGGGGCCAGTATGAAAATGTATGCACTCACTAACTGTAAGACACTCTGGATAAGAGCGTCTGCTAAATGACTAGAATTTAAAATGTATATATGTTAACTAGGCACTACATCAGTTTAGTTCGGTAGGTAACAGTTTTGAGCAGTTTGATTAAGTGATAATTAATTGTAGTGTTAACACATGATAAGAATATCATATCAAAAGTAGGCTTAAAGTGAATATTGCATTTTGAAAAGCTGATACTTCAATTGAATATGCATCCAAATTGAAAGAGTGATTTGTTGCAGTGAACAAGTGACTTTGTGAATTCGTTTGTTGTACTTGGTATAAACATTTTTTTTTATTAGTTTTGAAACATGAGCTATTTTGATGATCTGTTTAGATTTTTGTGCTCAGAGTTATGAAAATGTATCACATACTTGTGAAAATTGCACCAAAGTGATATTTAAAAAAAATATAAATGTATATGATGCCAAGCCATTCACACACACATCACATCACATCATAAAACATGCTAATATAAATGTATATGAAGCGAAGCCATTCACACACACATCACATCACTTCATAAAACATGCAGATCTGAAGGTCAAAGAAAGATCATTTATAATTTACCAGCACGATATGGTTCGAGTCACGCTGTCTCTATGTCATTCACCAATGTCAACTCCGTCCAGTCCTTTCTTGTTCTATTCAAAACAGCGGCCGAGTAAACTAGCAATATGCTAGCAAGGCTATGCTACGCTGGGTACAATCCACTGACGCCCACAAATGATTTGTCCAAATAGGACCTACATTCCATATTACAGCCCAAATTGCTTCGCAATGCGATGTCTGTCTGTCACCGGCTTGTTTTCCAGAACACGCGTTGTGCTACAGCGCATTTCTTACCTTCAGCTGGAATCTAGGCGCCATGATAGGAAGGTTTCTTCCACGGTAATCGGAGCGATGCTACCTGATGGGATACTAGAAACTGAAAGAGGGAGGGGGGAATTTCTTCCCAACTACAAGGAGGTGTAACATGGGAGATTTGTGAGATGCTAATTATTTTAAAGACTACCTTTAAATTCCTGTTGACATAGTGCTTAAAAATAGTGATTTTCAGTCTCTCATTGTTCTCTTTGTTGAAAACTACAATAGCTTATTGCGCTGTGCAATCTTCTGTACCCTAGGTTTTTTTTAAATCTCCCCCTATGCAGCACAAGAGCGCACCGCGTGCCTGCATCCCGTCTCCATGGTAACAAGCATCTGCTGTACCTGAGCATCCTACAAGCTCGCACAAAACGTGTGGCATTTTATTTGCACAGCTTCTTTATTTGTTTCCAGCGTGTCTAGTGTTGCATTCGAATAGGCATAGGGTCTACATCTTTTAACGCATTTTTGTTGTCCACAAAAAAATCCCCAAGTCATTATAGAGCACCTTATAGCCTAGTTCTAAAGAAAATGTGCACCAAAATGGGTAACGCCCATAATAGGCCTATACGTGGTTCAATACATTTGGTAGGCATCCACATATTTGCGGGTGAATTGAATGGAAAAGTATGGTAAAGGATACAGTGTTATTTAAACATAAATAGCCCTATCTGTTTCTTTTTGGTCTAGGTTGAAGATTATTATTATTATATATTAATTTTTTTTATCGTATGCTATAGATAGGCCTATATCACATTTTAAAAAATTACATATTAATGTGTGACATTGAGCCGTATTAAATGTTGGAAATTATTATGTAGACTAATAAAACTGGTCCGACAGGTGCAAATTGGGGAGAATCAGACACCTGAAAATAAAATGGTGGCAATCTGATTCTGGTAGCCTAGGCATTAGGCTACTGTCTGCATCATTAGCCTATAAAATGTCATAGGCTATAACAACAAAACATGTAAACACAAACAAAACACTGACACAACAATACACAGGCTACTCACACTAATACGAACCAGAGCGTCCATCATTGAAGAAGTGAGCGTTCAATCCGACTGTGCCTCCTTCGATGAATTACACATGATACCCCTACCGTTATCATAACAATAACAACAGGTGCCATAAAGACGAAAATTGCAAAATAGATATTCATAACTCCTGGTTCACTATTTGCGAAATAAGATTATTGGAATTTGGCGCACGCGCGTGAGCCTACAACCCATTAAAAAACGTTAACAATAGAAAAATGAAGCCAAATGGAAGAGAGACATTTTATTTATAACGAAATAAATGTAAACGATAATGAAAATACACACACTATTCCAAATGCTGCCAGATTATGCGCTTGGTAGGCTACTCCCCGCCCATACATCTCTCAACCTTCCTTTATTGAATCGCATCAGCGTCGGAAATTCTGCCACGATTCTGGGGTTTCTGTCTGCTAGGCACTGTAATATAAAGGGGCGGGTGAAAAGGACTACAATAGTCGGAGCATGGGTAACAAACCATGTTACCAAAAAGTGACCACCCCCCAAAAATATGACAATTAATTAATAGGCCTACTTTACATAAAAAATTGCTACTGCTTTATTCATTACAGTCATTTAGCAGACGCTCTTATCCAGAGCAATTAGGGTTTAGTGCCTTGCTCAAGGGCACATCGACCGATTTTTCACCTAGTCGGCTCGGGGATTTGAACCAGCGACCTTTCGGTTACTGGCACAACGCTCTTAACCACTAAACTACCTGCCGCCTAGAAACAAAAAAAAAGAACACTAGTTTCTATAGCACAGATGGGATTGCAAATGTTCATAAACGCATGCAAAACAAATCGCTTTACAAAAGTGGATCTTTGGTTGGGTCTTTTGCCCATTTATTAGCAGCAATGACAAAACATATCAATAATTCCATACAGACAGATTTAATTACTGTAAACACAGTAAATACATTGGCCTACACATAGCCTACACACCCTGTTTACTATCTCACATGCTCTGTTTAGCAGCATTCTTTAGCTCTTAATATAATAATATATCTAATTTAGCAGACGCTTTTTTCCAAAGCGATTTACAGTCATGCATACATTTTACGTACAGATGATACCAGGAATCAATCCCACTACCCTGGCGTTGCAAGCACCATGCACTACCAACTGAGCTACTTTCTGACAAGATAATCCATGGGGGTGCATGTATTTGAGCATCAGTCTTATAATTGTTGCAGAGTTATGCAACCCTTTGTGTCTATGTGTGCATATGGGCATGCTTGTGGACACAGGGAGGAAGGCATGTATCCAATTTACTCAATGAGATATGAGACTATATTAATGTGACATGTAGGCCTAATGCAATACACTGTAGAACGCAGATAGAAGCAGGCAGGTCTTTACATGACATGCAATCACATTTTCCCTTCCAGGAAGCAGTTGGACATGCAGGCAAGGGATTAAATCAGGGTGATGTACTCCTTGAAGTCCACAGCGCCATCACCGTCATGGTCTAGCATTGTCATCAGCTCACCCACGTCAGGACCACCCTTCTGCTCATATTAATGGGATATAGGATTACAAGGAAGACACATTACATTAGGATTTCTGTATTTTGTTGTCATTCACACTGAATGGCTGACACTTCACTCATGTCAAGAGAACATAAGCAGGGGATTAGAACACAAGGAAGACACAATACATAAGGATTTCTTTACTTTGCTGTCATTAGTACTAAATGAATGAGACTCCATGCAATATAGAATCAGTCAATCTCAATTAAACTTTATTTCAAGTGCATTCTTTATTAAAATCACAACACTTTACAATAAAAAATAGCATTAGAATAGCATTTGCTGTCTCATGAGTGACCAGGTTACCAAACACAGATTAAGCCTAGTCCTGGACTTCAAAGCTGAAATCCTTCATGGTGAAACTGCCACGTCCAACAAAAAAGTTACTGCAAACAACACTGTTTTTTCCCCACGAATATCATTGCATGCGCGATCAACCTGGTCAGAGCATTTCGTATTATTTCGTATGTAAATCCGAGACCCTCCATTTAGTACGATATGTAAAATTTCGTATGGTATGTATTAATTTGTGGATGTCATCACTCATTTCGTATGATATGTTACGAATTACAATCCGTATTATATGTTACGAATTTGCAAAACATACAATATGTTACGAATATACACAATTTACAATATGTTACGAATTCTAGCTAAGTGGCTAGGTGGCTACCTTTAGCTAGCTCACTAACGTTAGCTAGGCTAGGGGTTAAGGTTAGAGGTTAAGGTTAGGGTTAGGGTTAAGTTTAGGAGTTAGGTTATAGGGTTAAGGTTAGGGTGAGGGGAAGGGTTAGCTAAAAGGGTTAATGTTAGGATTAGGTGAAGGGTTAGTTTAAAGGGTTAGTGTTAGGGGAAGGGTTAGCTAACATGCTAAGTAGTTGCAAAGTAGCTAAAAAATAGTAAGTAGTTGAGATGTTGCTAATTAGCTACAATTCTAAAGTTGTCCGTGATGAGACTCAAACTCGCAACCTTTATACGCCCACCAAACCACCCTCCTTTCATTTTTGCCTTAAGTAACAATCTGTCATATGTAACCATACCAAATGTAGCATATCATACTAAATGGTGCTTCTCGGATTTACATACAGAATAATACGAAATGCTCTGAGACCAGGTTGCCACGATAGAACAACAGAATATGTACTGCATTTCTTTCTTTTTTTATACCACATTGCGGACAATGGCGCTGTTTCCTCACTGCAGATTACATATTTTAAAAAAGCATGCTCAATGGACAATCTTAATTGAAAGTGCTTTTTAGTCCAGGACTATAAGCTTAATGGGGGTCTGGGAAACTGTCCCGAGTTGTTGCATTGACTCACCCCAGTGATGTAGGGCAGTTCCGCCTTGATGAGGTTGGTTAGCTCTTTCTTGCTGAGGGTCTTAGCATCTCCACTGCCAGAGTGCTTGTGGAATGCCATGATGAGGGCTCCCAGGGAGGCTTCCAGGGGTGTGGGCTGTGCCATGTTGTCTGAGACTGATGGTGATCCTGGGGGTGTAAATTATTATAAGTAGGCTACTAGGAAAGCAGCTTACATTTGGAATGCTTTATGTTCTGCAGAGGAATAAAGTAAGTAGGTAAGTAAGCGCTTACCACATGCAGAATATACATGCTAAATTGAACAGTTTACTCAGACCGATGATTTTACACAGGTAACTGACATTTCAACTCGTGTTTTGAATGCATGTAAATTAATGTTGGAGATATTTCAAACATTTTTCTGAAAAAGTAGTGTAGGCCTAGTAAAGAACTAAATAATTATGAACAGTACACCTTTAGGAAATAATCATTAACAGTCACACAACTGTACCCTATGTAGATGAGTGTTCCAAATGACACATGCATGAAGAATAATGAACTGTTTTCAAAAGTATTTTTAAATGATTTATTTTATAAATCCCTGCATTCTACCCTATTGATCAATGTAATATTTTACGCTTCAGTCTAATCGGCCGATTAAACAAGGACTATCCACACTGTAAAAAAAAAAATCCTGTTATTTTTAGGTATGGTAGACAAGGGATGGTTATAACACTATTTGCATTTTTGTCAATTTGTCAGAGATTGTTTGAGCTACTATATTCAAAATGTGATACGAACAACTTACATCTGTCTGCTACAAATTGGTGTAGGTATTATCTCTCTAAATCAAACAGACAAGGTGTGACTTTGTCTCAAATACAAGGAGTGAAATGTTACAATTTACCCCAACTCCCCAGGACAGTGGTATAAGGGCTTGGGGTTAAATGTAACAGTTTGAAAATGGCATGCAACGAAATATTGAAAGCCTTTATTGAGAACATGAGGACAACATTGCCATGTTTAACATTTTGTGTGGCAGAAATAATAAAATAATAATACAAATCATAAAACATGTATTATTTGTACGTTCCATTAACTGGCCCTTTTCAACTAAAAACTGTGTGTGTGTGTGTGTGTGTGTGTGTGCGTGCGAGTTTGAGAAAGACAGAGCGGTGGTGTGTGAGTGTCTCTGTGTGTGTGTGTGTGAGTGAATGTTGGACATGTCCACTCAATCAGAGTCATAGTTGTGACAGTGGTATGGTAGTCTTGGGGTACAGGCTTGGTGGGCCCATAATTTATATTCCCAAGACTGCACCCAGACCTCCTTAGCTTGTTACAACTAACCCTGACTTGCAGTCTTTAGCTAGCTTCAATTTTAGCTACATGTTAAAACTCTAGCATTGCTAACTTACATAAGAAATAGCTACACACTGGTTTTAACCTGATATAAGTTTGGTGAATCGAACTACAAAGCAGGTGATACCATCAGCAAAAAATTATTGGTAAAAAAACTGACTTTCTTACCTCAAAATCAGATTTGTGTCAATAAAATCTATCACTGGGTCTTGCTTCTTCACATTAGGGCTGATGATTAAACTGAGCATGTGCACAGCGAATCCTGATTGTAGTTTGTTCATGATTGGAGATTTTGAGAGTGTTACAACTAACCTGTGTTACAAGCATCCCCAGTCTCCCCTAACTTACTGTCAGCCAGCTACCTGTAAATTACTGTGGGAAAAAAAAGGTACAGTATGTTAGCCTTCCATAAATTCCAAATAGGCCTAAACTTTGCTTTAACAGTACAGGTAAATGGCTGCCAGTAAATTACCTTAAAAACAACCAGATTAAAATACACTGATGTCGACAAGCCATTTGTCCAAAATAGCCTATTACAGCGCAAATTGCTGTGCAATGCGATATCTGTCTCTCACCAGCTTGTTTTACAGAATAGCGCATTTCTTACCTTCACCTGGAATCTAGCCGCCATGATAGGAAGGTTTCTTCCATGGTAATCGGAGCGATGCTCCCGGAGAGGATAGAAACTGAAAGGGGGGGGGGGGGGGGGGGGGGGGGGTTCTGCCCCGCCACAAGGAGGGGTAAGGGGGAGATTTGTCTGCATGCATCATCGGTAGCCTATAAAATGTCATAGGCTATAACTACAACGGGAAAACAACAAACAACAAAACATGTAAACACAGACAAAACACAGACTGACACGACCACAGACACAGGCTACTCACGAACCAGAGCGTCCATCATTGAAGCGAGCGTTCAATCCGACTGTGTCTCCTTCGATGAATTACACATGATACCCCTACTGTTATCATAACAATAACAACAGGTGCCATGAATGCAAATATTGCAAAATAGATATTCATAACTCCTGGATGATCCGTTTATTTAGCTGGAGTAGTCCTTGCCCTAATATGACATCTGTTTTGCGCAGTAAGATTGGAACTGGACGCACGCAAGTAAGGCTATAGCCTACATTATAGGCATGCAACCCAATAGAAAATGAAGCCAAATGGAAGAGAGAAAATAAATTTGTAACGAAATTAAATTTAGGCCTAACGATCATCCGATGATGAAAATGCACCGTTCCAAGTGCTGCCAGATTATGCGCTTGGTGGGATACTCTCCGCCCAGACGTCTCCCACCCTTCCTTTCCCGAATCGCATCAGTTTTGGCAAATCTGCCACGATTCAGGGGTTTCTGTCTCTACTGTTGCTGGCTGGTTACACTGTAATATAATTGGGCGGGGGTGAAACGGACTACATAGTCGGAGCATGTGTAGCCTAATAAACCCTGTTAAAGTGGCCTCAATTACATTGATATTTTAGGCTACATAAGAAATGGCTGCTGTACAAAGAAAAAAAAGAACACTGGCGAACATCCATGTTTGCCACTATCAAGTGGGATTGCAAATGTTCATAAACGCGTGCCAAAAAACACGCTTTACAAACGTCGTTGGGTCTTTTGCCAATTTATTAACAGCAAAGATAAAACATTTTGAAGCGATCCTCACTATATGAGCTATGTTACAATTCCGATCGAGTGAGTTAACCCTATTAGCGTGAGGGTGTTTGCCTTTCTCTTCCCTGCCCCACCGTTCGGTACACTGGTATCAGAAGTGGGATTTCTATTGGAGAAGCAGTTTCTGCCAAACTTCATACCGTCGTCTACTATATTTGTTAAGGTCATTTATCTACTTACCCAGAGTCAGACGAACGCAAAACTGGGTGATTATACATTATAGTCTTACAAAGTTATACATAGTAATTCATATGTTATACATTCGTTAATGTTAACCCATAGAGATGTAGGCCTAGAGAGTTCGCAGCGTTGTGTCTCAATGGCGCTGCCTGAGCGCTCACAGACGCCATAATGGGACAGGGCAGATAGCCTACCACGCTTTTGCTGATTTTGACTGATTATCAGAAAGCCACACATCTAGCGAGGCTATACTTTTATAAGAAACAGTTTCATTAATCTACTAGCATAACCAGCGCATCCATGTGAAAACAATTTGATCTCAACTACCCCTATAGTACAAGGAAATGGTGTCACAGCATTATGTCATTATTACATATTAATTAGCCTACTAGTACATATGACATATGTTATTCACAAAAACGTTTATTCCTTATAAATTCCTCATTCCACAAAACCTATTCACAAAAACCTTATTCACTAAGAAAACACCCAGACAAACAAATTAAAATTAAACAGGCATTTATTCATGTGGCATCTATATTATATTACCTTAAGCCTCTAAATTGCAGTTGATTTAACACTGATTTCCTTCATTTTAGGCTTAAAAGAAGCATGTCCTCCTGTGTTTTGTATTTTTGTTTTTTTCCCCCGTTTTTTCCCCCTGGGATACCGTGCTGTCAGAATGTAAAATGATGTAAGCACTTCTAGGGCAATTTAGATTCTGTAGAATGACTACGTTACCCATAATGCTCATTGACTGAACATTCCAAATTACCATAGCAATTATGCGTCACAATAGTAATATTAGGGTGCGTTCGTAAATTCACTCTGGTTATTTACTCCAATTTCAGAGCACTCTCGTCTGAGTGTGCGAGAGCGCTGAATAACTGATGCATTTATGAACGTGCAACACCCCTTGAATATGACCGATGTTGGCAAAATATTGTTGCCAGCAGCACAGTTATCATCACCAATGCTCTAGATAACATTAAAACATCTTAACCAGCTCTGCTAGGACGAGCAAAATGGTCAGACTGAGGTGTTCTCTCATTTGTGTCTGGAAGTAGCTAGCTAGCAAGCTAGCCAACTTTAGCCAGTTAGCTTAGGTGCTTGACTGCCGTTGTGAGGTCAGAACGCTCAGATAAGCTCTGAATTTACAAATGGACAATCTGACAACACTCTGAATTTACGAACGCCCAGAGTGCACCCCGAGCGCATTCTGCCACTCCAGAGTGAATTTACGAACACACCCTTAATATGCAACCAATGTTGTATATAAACCCTGGATTGCTGATGCTATGTGTTGGCCATAAAGTACCACAGTATGAGTCATAATACCCATAAAACCTAACGGTCAAGCATGGAAACGGTTCCAATCATTTTTCCACCATACATTTTTCCCATAGGGGATTTTAGAAACACTTCAAATAAGGGCTGTGTTTCATGTAAGCTTACCCTGGCTTGACGTTTTGATAACTGTGTAAATCTCTCTCGGACAAGTCGACTTTTATCAATACATTTGCCTGTATTTACCCCCAACAATGAAATGCTATTTAGCTGCTAATGTGACTATCATACATAACTACAAATTTGTGTCTCAAGCTTTACGTCACTCACCAGGGCCATGATGATCTGGACGAGACTGCCGAATTGAGGAAAAGGTAAGAATCTCTAGATTAACTATCTAATGTTAGCTAAATTTAGTAATGAATAAATGGGCTACATTTTTTAAAATTGACAATTCTGTGAACTGTCTTGGGCAAGTTTTACATTTACACTACATGGTATCTAGCTATGCTAGCTAGCTCATGGTTAGCTAGCTAGTTAGCAACATTATACTGGCTACATTAGGCATCTATTTGTCTTGCCATTTAAATGCATGAGAAATTCATAAAAACGACTTTACCTTTCTTTGGCTTATATAAACCAACAGTCTAGCTTGCTAGTTAACTAGCTAGCTAACTTCGATGATGAAGCTAGGCATTCTTGATCATGTTTGTTTGTGTCTGTGGGTGAGGGGTGGGTAGCCTACTTCCAGTAACCTACTACTTTACTTGACTTGTAGCTACCCTAGCTAGCTGTATTATTTTGGTCTGGCTTTTTGAGAGTTTTCAGAGATGGACTGATTAGCATCTCTTGAGCCAACAGTGTGCTTACTTTACTGCGGGAAGACATTGATCTGTTTGCTGTTACCCTCTGGACAGCAAATTATTAGTATAGCTACTAGACAAGGTTATGTAACCTTATTTAGTCCTACTTGTTATGGTGGGGTATAAATTCATTGGTATTCACACGTTTGTTTTTGAGGTAGAATTACTGTCATGTTATTGATGCCAAATTGCAAACCTTCTCTATTTCAGAACCAAGGGGTGTGCCTGAGTCTTATCACCTCTCAACTAGGTAAGCTGTTTCAACCTGGAATACTATGCTTTGGTCTGATTCAGTCATTGCATGAAGTTCTGAAGAGCTGGAGTGTGTGAACGGTTTTGTCTCAGCCCAGCTCTAACACGGTAGCTAGTAGCTAACTAGCTGACAGTAAAGGTGTCAACTAGAGATGACGTGCAGGAGCTTGCAGGGATTTCTAAAATCCCCCTATGGGAACAATGAATGGTGAAAGAATGGGGGCAATTCTCCCCGCTCTGCTGATAAGGAGATTTTTGCTCTGCTCCTCTCATACAGGAGGAATAAAGGCCTAGTGCACTAATTTGGTGGGATTTTTTATTTTCTTAAAGAAACATATATATATTTTTTATTAATACTTTTAACATTGTGATTTATCAGGTGTGGCTGCAGCACCCTCAGCACCCCTACTTCCCGCGGCTATTTAAGTATTTTTGTTATTGTTGTTGTAGTGGGGACAGTAACATTAGTACTCAACATTTTTATGTTTAGCTCACATAATATAATTTAAAGTATGCATTATGGTGTCTGTAATATAATAAACATGTCAAAAACGAATGTAGACATTAATAAATGCATTTCTATAGCTTCCAACATCTTTTTTTCAATGGAGAGGTGCCAAGATGGCTGTGCGGTAGCTTCAATACAGCGCCCCCTATCAGTCATCCAGGGTTTATACACATCATGTATGCAACATGCAGCAATCCACAGTATCTAAGGTATACTATCAACAGTGCTATGGGCTTATAGCAGCCTATTCCCTGTGCATAACATCTTCAACGGCAGATCTAATGACTCGTTGCCCTGTTTTCCCCAACTCTTAAACTAACCCTCAAATCCTTTAAAATAATGCTGTCAAATAAAACAAAGTACGGTACACAATGAGTCAAACAAGCACTATGCCTAAAACATAGGCAACAAACGTGAGCTGGTAGATTAGTTAGCCCACACTGGAGAAGTGAAAATGACATTCTCACTCCCATTTTTGGATGTGCATCCTGCACATCGGACATGCAGGACCAGCCCTAGCCTACAGGCCTACTGTTTTATAATAGATATAGATAACATGGGTTCTTGGTGGGCCTATTAAAACATTACATTTTAAAGAGAAAGCATGCGCCATGATCCCACAGGAAAAGGCCTATGAGAGTTTTTTTAATGCTCTGGAGTTGAGAATATTACTGGTATATCGAGACACATTTTGATTTGCAGGAGGGGGGAATTGCATTGCAATCATGCATTACAATAGTAGGCCTAATTCAATTTCTGTTGTAGGCTGTTTTTAATAGATATGGATAACATGGGTTCAAGGTAGGCCTATCAAACCATGCACCACCAAGTCACCAACACACGCATCAGCGAGCAGGCATATCGCACAACTTGCTGACTTAATGGGATATTATTATTATTATTATTATTATTATTATTATTATTATTATTATTAAGTAACGGTTATGAAAGCAAGTGCCATGATCCAAAGGGAAATATTGGAGTTTCTTAAATGCTCCGGAGATGAGAATGTTGGTAGCCTATCCAGAGACCAAAAATCTGAATAAATACATATTTGATTTGCAGGAGGGGGGAATTGCATTGAATCAAATGATACATTTGCAATTATTTACTGGGGTGCACTAGTGTAATGTAATACACTGTACAAAGCAGATGGAAGCAGGCATTTTCCCGCTAGAGCACAGTTGCACATGCAAGGGATCCAATCAGGGTGATGTACTCCTTGAAGTCCACGGAGCCGTCAGTGTCCTGGTCCAGCATTGTCATCAGGTCCCCCACTTCAGGACCACCCTTCTGCTTATGTCAATGTAATATAGGATCACAAGGAAGACACAATACATTAGGATTTCTGTATTTCATTGTCTTTCACACTGAATGGCTAGGACTGCAATATAGAATCAGTCAAAGTTCAATAAAACTTTATTTCAAGTGTATTTTTTTCTTAAAATCATGACACATTTAAAGTGATGCTCCAGAGCTTTTGTATAATTTCAGCCAGTAGTTTTGAAAGTAGTGCTCAAGAGCCAAAACAGGTCCCCGAAAATGTAGCTAAATTGTGTACAACGTCATCCATTTTATATGATATTTTACACCCTGCAAAATTCATATGATATGTTACGAATTCCAATTTGTACAATATGTTACGAATTTGTAAGTGCTTAAGATCCCGGACTGCATCTTTAGCAATAAAAAATAGCATTAGAATAGCATTTGCTATCTCATAAGGGGGCGGTTTCCCAGGCACATATTAAGGCTAGTCCTGGACTTTAAAAAAACATGCTCAATGGATGTTCATTATTGAAAGTGCTTTTTAGTCCAGGACAATAGGCTTAATCGGTGTCCGGGAAACTGGCCCGAGGTGTTGCAATGACTCACCCCAGCGATGTTTGGCAGCTTAGCCTTGATGAGGTTGGTTAGCTCTTTCTTAATGAGGGTCTTGGCATCTCCACTACCAGCGTGCGTGTGGAATGTCATGATGAGAGCGCCCAGGGAGGCTTCCAGAGGTGTGGGCTGTGCTCTGGTGTCTGTGACTGATGGTGATCCTGGGGGTTGAAACTATTATAAGTAGGCTACTAGGAAAGTCGCTTACATTTGGAATGCCTTATGTTCTGCATAGGAATGAAGAGGACTAAGTAAGTAAGTATGTACGTACGTACGTACAGATGTCAGATCTTAATTTGACCCCTTTCGTCACAGGAGGAAAATAATCCTGCAGCAGGAGGATTTGAATATCTGAATAAATATTTTGAATCGCCGCCAGGGGGCAGCTGGAAGCGGTGATGTATACAATGCAGTACCGTACCTACATTGTAGGCTATCTTATGTAGGCTATGTGCAGGCTACAGCGCGTCTCATGTGAATTCTTATGTGTATTATAATAAATTGACATATTTGTAGGGGGTATATGTATTTTTCGTTAGGGAAAAGCAATTGTTTTATTTTATGTTGAAGGAAAGCAATAGGTAGAATAAATTATTATAGCCACTGATCCCTGCACACATATGGCAGTCGGCATGTGTTCGAATCTGGACATTGCCCTTTAACTCATGGATGAATGTCTATTTTTGACACATTAATTCCGCGTGGTTACAGGGTTAAAACAGAAACAACTCAAAGGTTAAAGGGTAAGTCTCAACCCCAATTACAGCCTTTGCCCAACCGCTTCAAATGTTTTTAAAAAATGCATTCAGGTGAGAAGTTGTGGGTGGGGGGAATTGCTCATAAATATTCATTTTGGGGGTGGGTAAATGTAGTTGTACCTGATCCGAACACTTTCTCACTAAAGCATAGACAGGTTGGTTTTTTAGCAACTATGGGGCAAAACAGACAGGGCTGGTTTAGATTGTTGACAACATCCAATGTTTATTGAAAACATAAATACAGTGGGGGAAAAAAGTATTTAGTCAGCCACCCATTGTGCATGTTCTCCCACTTAAAAAGATGAGAGAGGCCTGTAATTTTCATCATAGGTACACGTCAACTATGACAGACAAAATCAGAAAAGAAATTCCAGAAAATCACATTGTAGGATTTTTAATGAATTTATTTGCAAATTATGGTGGAAAATAAGTATTTGGTCAATAACAAAAGTTTCTCAATACTTTGTTATATACCCTTTGTTGGCAATGACACAGGTCAAACGTTTTCTGTAAGTCTTCACAAGGTTTTCACACACTGTTGCTGGTATTTTGGCCCATTCCTCCATGCAGATCTCCTCTAGAGCAGTGATGTTTTGGGGCTGTCGCTGGGCAACACGGACTTTCAACTCCCCCCAAAGATTTTCTATGGGGTTGAGATCTGGAGACTGGCTAGGCCACTCCAGGACCTTGAAATGCTTCTTACGAAGCCACTCCTTCGTTGCCCGGGCGGTGTGTTTGGGATCATTGTCATGCTGAAAGACCCAGCCACGTTTCATCTTCAATGCCCTTGCTGATGGAAGGAGGTTTTCACTCAAAATCTCACGATACATGGCCCCATTCATTCTTTCCTTTACACGGATCAGTCGTCCTGGTCTCTTTGCAGAAAAACAGCCCCAAAGCATGATGTTTCCACCCCCATGCTTCACAGTAGGTATGGTGTTCTTTGGATGCAACTCAGCATTCTTTGTCCTCCAAACACGACGAGTTGAGTTTTTACCAAAAAGTTCTATTTTGGTTTCATCTGACCATATGACATTCTCCCAATCCTCTTCTGGATCATCCAAATGCACTCTAGCAAACTTCAGACGGGCCTGGCGTAAGCAGGGGGACACGTCTCGCACTGCAGGATTTGAGTCCCTGGCGGCGTAGTGTGTTACTGATGGTAGGCTTTGTTACTTTGGTCCCAGCTCTCTGCAGGTCATTCACTAGGTCCCCCCGTGTGGTTCTGGGATTTTTGCTCACCGTTCTTGTGATCATTTTGACCCCACGGGGTGAGATCTTGCGTGGAGCCCCAGATCGAGGGAGATTATCAGTGGTCTTGTATGTCTTCCATTTCCTAATAATTGCTCCCACAGTTGATTTCTTCAAACCAAGCTGCTTACCTATTGCAGATTCAGTCTTCCCAGCCTGGTGCAGGTCTACAAATGTGTTTCTGGTGTCCTTTGACAGCTCTTTGGTCTTGGCCATAGTGGAGTTTGGAGTGTGACTGTTTGAGGTTGTGGACAGGTGTCTTTTATACTGATAACAAGTTCAAACAGGTGCCATTAATACAGGTAACGAGTGGAGGACAGAGGAGCCTCTTAAAGAAGAAGTTACAGGTCTGTGAGAGCCAGAAATCTTGCTTGTTTGTAGGTGACCAAATACTTATTTTCCACCATAATTTGCAAATAAATTCATTAAAAATCCTACAATGTGAGTTTCTGGATTTTTTTTCCTCAATTTGTCTGTCATAGTTGACGTGTACCTATGATGAAAATTACAGGCCTCTCTCATCTTTTTAAGTGGGAGAACTTGCACAATTGGTGGCTGACTAAATACTTTTTTTCCCCACTGTCCATTTGCACAATGAGCAAATATATTGTTACAGTTGTTGGTTAACTACCTAGCTAATTGTAGCTATATTAGCATTGACATGAAATCAGTCAAAACACCTAAAAAAGACATGGTATCAAGAACAAGATGAAACGAGCTGAAACGAGCCACTTGATAATAAAATGATGTGCATCGCAAGCAAATACAGTTCTGGACAGTTAGCTCACAGTGGTAAGGCGCTGAGTTCCCTCACATTTACATTTGGCATTTTAGTAATTTAGCAGATGCTCTTATCCAGAGTGACTTACAGTTAGTGCATTCATCTTAAGATAGCTAGGTGGGACAACCACATACTATATCACAGGCATAGTAAGTACACTTTTCCTCAATAAAGTAGCTATCAGCAAAGTCATTTATTGCGGTATTGTGTTGGAAAGAAAAGTGCAATCATCACCTTGAAAATGAAGATTAGGGGCTCAATTCAATCCAACCCGCATTGCAGTATTTATGCAGCTCTTTATCCAATGGTCAAATTAACTCACAGATTGGTCTTATTGGGTACTGTATAAAAACCTACAACTACTACCAGGGTGACCCCTCTCACAGATATGCTTTAACTTTTCAGAATTAGAAGTGTGTGGGCACAGGATTAGAACTCATAATCATTCAACTAGGAGCCAACTGCCTTAGCAGACTGCGCCACCAATCAGTCATACTGTTACTGAAAAAATACAACAAGTTGACATGATCACCATTGTCATCGATTACTTGTTACGATGGATGTAGCTACGAATATAAACGTATAATCCTCAAAGCATACATGTATTTTTTTCTTCGTAAAAGCACATAGATGTGTATGAAATGGTAAGCAAAACACTTTGAATTTGGTCATATGCGGAAATGTGCCTTACTGCCTTTTGAATATTGTGTAACGTCAGTAGTGTAGACAAAGAGGCATCATGCAAAATATATTGTCGCACTCCACTTACCAAGACTATTGCCAAATAAGGAGCACTGTCACCTGCTTTATAGTAAATCTTGAGGTGGTACCATCCAGGGTTTCTTAGCACTAAAATCATCTTAATTCCATTGAAATTAAATGGACAAAATATGATCTTAGTGCTATGATGCTTTTGGGAAACCCAGCCAAGCACACCTAGAAGGGAGTGTATTTCATACCGGACCCCTCCCTTGAGATGACGTAAAGGGCACCTTCTCAAGGTGCCTCTACATAAAGATTTCAATGGTAGAGTTGAACCGCTATGGGCAAAAAGAGCTAGATTTACTGCTAAAAGACCAAAATATATCATTCTTGCAACAAACTGTCAAAATGAAGACCAGAATTGACGTGTTTCACTATAACTAAGCCTAAAACATCTGTTTTTTATGGGGGGGGAAAGTATTTTCATGAAAGTTAGGCATTGTGAACTGCCGTAGCGCAGTGATCTAAGCAGCATGCTCTGAGTCAGGGCCTTATGAGTGCTGGGCAATCTAGTGACCAGCCTGAGCCTACATTAAGCCCACAAGTTAATTGCATTTATTTAAATGTTTACAAGAAGTAAAACTAATAAATAACTTCAGGAGGAAAATTGGCTTAACAAGTCACATAATAACGAAGATACAAGCGTCCTTCCTAACTCAGTTGCCGGAGAGGAAGGAAACCGCTCAGGGATTTCACCATGAGGCCAATCGTGTCTTTAAAACAGTTTAATGGCTGTGATAGGAGAAAACTGAGGATGGATCAACAACATTGTAGATACTCCACAATACTAACCTATTTGAGTGATAAGAGTGTCTGCTAAATGACTAAATGTAAATGTAAAAGAAGGAATCCTGTACATAACATGCATCCTGTTTGCAATAAGGCCCTAAAGTAAAACATTACGTTTGGGGCAAATCCAACACAACACATCACTGAGTACCACCGTAAAAGGACCAAGCAGCGTGTCCAGGAGCAGGCAGACTGGACATGGGAGGGAAGCGCCAGGAAAGGAGATGGAGAGGCTGGCGATGGCCCAGGTGGGCAAAGTGTGGTCCTGGGAGGACATGCTCGGGGGCAAGGGACCTTGGGGTAGGATCAAGGCCCTGGCGAGAGAGGAGCAGCGGCGTCAGCAGTGCCATCGTCGGACGGACGAGAGGCACCCCCAATAAATTTTTAGGGGGGGGCACACGGCATGGGCGACTGGGCAGCAGGAGGCTGCCACAGGGCGAAATAGGAGACGAGGAGAGAAGGCCACCGGGTTACGGGAGCCATTGGCGAGAGGAGGGAAGGAAGTTGTAGAGGCACGGCGAGAGGTACTGAGGTGTATTGCCAGTCCGGTCTGGCCCGTTCCTGATCCCGTTTAAAGCCAGTGGTGTGTGTTCCCAGTACGGTCCGGCCTGTTCCTGCTCCACGCACCAAGCCTACGGTGTGCGTCGTCAGCTCTGTCCGGCCTGTCCCTGCTCCACGCACCAAGCCTACGGTGTGCGTCGCCAGCCCAGCCCGGCCTGTTCCTGCCACTCGCACCAAACCTACGGTGTGCGTCGACAGCCCAGCCCGGCCTGTTCCTGCTCCACGCACCAAGCCTACGGTGTGCGTCGACAGCCCAGCC